TAGTGTGAGGGGTGATCATAGTCCGGGTCATCATGAAAGAAATCATTAGGCTCAAAATGGGAAAAAAAGGGATAAAGTTTTGTGAGATATATGAAAGATGATCTTTCTTCATCTCAACGACTAATTTGCTTATGCTCGAAAAACGCTAACCTCTTTTGAAAATTATTTTGGAAAACCCTCATGTTAACTCGAAACAAAAAATGATGAATGTAATTGGAAATCATGATCCGAAGATGTACTATTCATCATTATTTAAGGCACTAATCATTCAATTTTCAACTTTGGGCTTCATGAGGATTCTCCAAGCAAAAATTTCCTTCAAGAATGTATTTGGAAAACAATGATGATATTTTTTTGGTTTTGTTTTTTTTTTTTGTGTTTTTTTTTGTTTAAAAAAAGGGGATTCCCTCATCACTTGCTGCTCAAAAGATGTATTTTTTTTTGTTAATTAAATTGAAAGATTATCTCTAACATCTGGTTGTCATGTTTTAAAATTTGATCAATTTTTTGAATTTTTTTGAATGAATTTGCCATTATATTTTCTTGATGGAGAAAAATGTAAAGCCAAATGATACTTTCGAATGAGCATCTCTTGATTTCATATCAAACAATATGAAATTATAGAAAGTGAATAAGAGTGACTCTTTCATTTAAAGATATGACTCCATTCATGCATAACCAAAATGTTTTTTTTTTTAAAGTAGAGTTCAAAATTTAACAAAAGTAATAAGACCAAAATTACAAATTATGAGCACGCATGAAAATTTTTAAACCCACTCGGTATTGCCATCTCGTGCATGGAAGGTCGGATGGTTTAAGAGTAGGTTGATATTCACATTGAGAGCATTCAAACCATTATCAATACCGATCCAACCTTGTTTGATCGGACCCAATAGCTTTTCCTTAAAAGTAGGAAAATTAGATTGTTGCCAAAACTGATCCCATCTTGTATGATCAAATTCAACAGCTTTTTTTGGAAGCAAGAGAATCATTGATGTTATACCAAGCTATACATGATCGACATTTATATCCCTCATCCGATTTGTACCATGGAGGAATATGAGGTTTCATCGAGTTAGGTTAGGAAGAGGTAATTTGCTCGATACGTACTAAATGCTTGAATGTTTCTCCTAGTGAGAAAAGACATAGCATAGTTTTTCATAGTTTTGAATGTTAGAGCATCTCAAAGGAATCAACTTGTTTGGGTAAGTTTGAGTGGGGCAATAGGATTGGTTTGGCTGATTTGGTGGACATGACTAGTGGACTTGATTTTTGAAAAATGGTTGCATTCGGGTTTTTTGAACTCGGTTATGTTTTTTCTTTTTTTAGTTTTTGATATGTGGTTGTATTTAAGTTTTTGGATATGGTTGTATTTGATTTTGGCAAAATGCGAGCTATTGTTAGGTTGGAGGTGTATTGGGTAGATGGTGGGTTTTGGATGCTTGTTAGGATTTTCATGGTTTTCATGTCTTCTCAATTTCTCCACCGATTTCTAGATCGAGAGAGTTCGGTCTCAACTCGATATACTTTACCATTCCTTATCTTGATATCCTTGCTTTGTTTCTTCTTAAAACCATTAGGGACCTTTCCAGCTTTGATTGCTTTATATGTGTGATCAACTTGGAGCAACATTTCTATCAAATTTATTCTATTGGATGAAAGTATCTACTTGATATCTTTATTTTTTGATCTTGGCACCATCCAACCTCATACATCGGCTCAAAACGGATCCACCTAGCCGCTTACAAAAAAAGGGTATCAACGATTTTCACAACTTCGACCATCTTGTCACTCGTATACATTGAGATCCTATATACTTAGGAATTCATGAGCTTTAGGTTTCTTAGGGATTGCCATATCCGATACTCGTGTCCATTCTAGCAACTCATATCGACTCATGCCTATCGGTGTCTTGGGTATCCTTGAGTTATTCTTTGGTTGCTAACGGTTTGTTTAAACTAGGCTCTTTAGTTATCTTAGCCTTGTGGACCTTTTCAACGGTGATGTATGCACTAATTGTACTTTGCATCGGTGGAACTTGCGGGCCCATCATACATGAGAATGGTTTAGTGGGATTGATACTTTAGCGAGAGAATATGGTTGCCTCGAATTAATGAGTGGAACAGATCGATGGCCCGAGCTATAAGTTGGCATTGGAAGGGTGAAAGGCAATTTAAAACCGAGTTTGGCCTTGGCTTTGATGTGTCCCTACCACTTAGTAATGCGATCGGTGCTTTTTAAGAAGTTTGGACAAATGGGCAATTTTCCCTTTATGGGGTCATTTTTGGTGGGCATGCTCCTACTCGTGCTCTCTCTTTAATTTTCATATATTCTCACTAGAGTTGAGTGCTACATGTTTGAGAGAGGAGTCGAGTTTTGACAAGGTAGCCAATATTTCGGATCCGATAAAACAAACTCGAAATAGATATGTACAATAAATATACAAGTATATATATGCATGGTATGAACTGGGTTGGATACTTTACTTTACTCGTGGTGGATTTCAAATCATGACAGAGTTTATATTGAAGACGAACCGGATCAAATGTTATTCCTACAAATATTTGAGGTAATTTAGGAAACATATCTACTCTAGATCAAACCTTTTTTTGTTTTTATTTTTGATTTTTTTTTATTTTTAATAAGATTTGGGGTAGAAAACCTCTCTCCTCCAATTAGGTTCATTTTGATTTGGTCCTAAAATCTTTGATAACATTCTCTATCATGATTTTTTTTTATGATAACTCGCACAAATAAGAGTTAGAACATATAGCATTTGAAAATATTTTGTATCTTAACGAGTCAACCATAATAGATAAGATATAGCTTTTATATGGTTTAGGTAAAACTCATCTAATCTTGAAGTCTTTTCAAGTTTTTGAACCGCTTAAATTACCGATGGCGTAATTCAATCTCTAACTTTACACATGAGGAGGTAGGAGAAGGTTATTTCACCATTTCCTATGTATAAGGCGAGTTATAGTCTAAACGAGAGTCCGAAAAAACATCGATAGGCTTTCATCATACTTGCCTCCTAATCTCTCTATCTAATTATAACGAGTTTTAGCTCGGGTCCAAAGCTTTTATAGGTTATCTCGTGGTGTGTGTAATAGTTCAAAATAAGCATCTAACCCGATAAAAAATAAATAAATAATGTATAAAAATTAAAAGAAAATAAACTGTAAAAATTTAAATACATAAAATAATACAAGAAAATAAATGACTTGAAAAATAAAAGACACCTAAAATAAATTACAAAAGTAGATAAAGGAAATAAATTTATAAGGACTAAACTTATGACCTAACTCTAAGTTCTTAGTGGAGTCGTCATTCCGTTGCTACTCGACGTTGGACGGGACTCCCGATAAGTTCTCATTTTTAGAGTTAGTTTTTAGTTATAAGTTCGGAGTTATCACCTAGTATTAAGGAGCTAGGAACGTAAAAGTAACACTAGTTCGGAGATTCTATGGTAAGGAGTTGATTACGCTTTTGGGAAGATATTTAATCACCAAAAAGTGCTATTTCGAAAAAAAAAAAAAGTACCATGTTTAGTTTAGTTCTAAATTCACCTCCTAAAGTATTTTTATTTGTTTCAAATTATTTTCGATTTAAACTCTAATTTTCAAGTTGAATTAAGTTTTTTAGTTTTAGGTGTGGCATTGTATTGAAATAATCGTCGGTCTCCTTCGTCGAGCGACGGAGTTGATTCAAACATCGAAACCATTTCAAGCATTGACATAATTGGTGTGTCGGAGAATAGCCCGACTAAATGATAATTTTTGATAACGACAATCCCTATTAAATAGGAGACTTCATCAATGATTTTTTATTATTTTTTTGTTATTTTTTTGTTGATAGAGAATCATCATTAGTCCCTAGAAATTAGGACACTTGACGATTCACTTATCCTTTAATAATCTAAACTAATTACAAAATTAAAATCCTAACATAAAAAATTCCTTAAGATTTGTTAAAATAAATTCAATGCAAACTAGAATATTAAGTACGTAAACTAAACATGCATAAATATATTCAAAATAAATTGAGCTTAAAATTTTTTTAAAAAAAAGAAGAAAAAAGCCTTGAAATTAAACATTGGATCATTTTTTTAGATGGGCCATGGACCCATTGGGACAATAATGGGCTAAACCAAACCCCACATAGCCTTAATAAACATGGGTTGGGCCAAAGCCTAATCCTTATTTTCTTAGACCAACTTTCACTCTAGCATTATATTTTATCTTATAATTTTTTTTTATTTTCATTTATTTTTATTTTTTTTAGGGAGAAGTGAACTAGTTCCAACTCCCTCTTTTTTTTTCTTTTTTTTCGAGGGGCTGGATAGTCCAACCTTTTATCCCACGAGCTGGACAAGTCTAGCCCCTCACACGGGTTGGACAATCCAGCCCTTTCTTTTTACCAAAGTTGATACATGAGCTTTCAAATTAAATTAAGCAAACAAAGTTTACCTTCTATCTTCTTTCCCTTTCTCTCGCCTTTTCCCATTTTCCGAAAAAACTTCTTCAAGATCCTCATGCTTCTCCTTCTTCTCCTTCTACCCGATCATTAACTTCCTACGATAAGTTAACCCAAAAGTTTTCAACATTTACTCTCTTCCACACCATCATTTATTTTCTTCTCTTGATCAACTTTGAAAACTCTATCACCACTCAAAAATTTTCGAAACCACTCGAACCATCAAAGCCATAAGCTAAGAGCTTGAATCCTACAATCTCAATAAGTTTCCCTAGAGGCTTGGTTCTTTAACTAAAATAAGAAGTGGGTTTTCTTAAAAACCCCCCATAAAATGGCATAATTGTGGGATCTTGTGCACGAGATAGACTACCTTGATTTAACACCATCTTGCTTCGAATGTAAAGATTAGTTTTTAAGGATTTAAAAGTGGGATTTTGGGTAAACATTAGGTTTTATCAAAAGTATGTTAGTTCGCAATCAAAGATGGGGATTTATGTGATGGGTCAAACGGTTGTTACGATCATATGAGTAAAAGGTTGTGAAGGTGGATAAAGGAGAAAGAAGGTAGTCGGATAGGTTTCGATCTTGATGGAAGGATGAGAAGACTCGGATGAGCTTAGGGTGATTGAAGGTTTGACGGTGGGTCCGAGTACTTAGATGACTATGGTGGTTAATGAGGTTTGATTTGCGGGTGAAGGTAGGGGTGAGGGTTGTGTTAGTGTTGATGGAGGATGGCTTTGTATGGGTGAGGATGATATGGAGCGGAATACATTACCCACGGGTAATGTGGTTATGAGAATAGGAGACGACAACCGTGGTGATTTAAGGGGTATGCACACTAAGTGTTTTAGTCTTGATCTGTAAGAGAATGTGTGGCTTAGTTATGGTGTGGAGAAGGACTCGTTATGATGGATAATGTAGTGTGGTTTTTCTCCGGGTTAGAGTTTGGTGATAGTAAGAGAGACTTAGGTAAAGCTTAGTGGCTATGGTGATTTATGGACAACGAAGGAGAAGGACAATGAGGCTAGCTACTATAATTGAGTTTTATAGGTGTGACTTTTATGGCTTGCTACTATTGTTGAGTTTTGTAGTGGTGGGGATGGCTACCTAGGTATGTGGATGTGAGAATGAGATGTTGGTGTTTAGGGCTAAGGAAAATGATGGTTGGGTAGTGTGTTGATTAGACAAGAATTTATGGTGAAGGAAGAGTCTCTAGTAGAGAGGGTGGCTATTGTGTGTTTGGCATAGAGGGCTGTTTAGAGGTGATGGCCTATTACTAGTAGTGAAGCGTTTATAGAGATTAGGATAGTGCGGATGAAGGCCATTATTGAGGTGTAACTATGGCGGTTCCAATTGTAGAGGGTGTTTTTGTGATGCTTGTGCTTAGAGGATGATAGTTAGTTAGAAGGAAAAGAGGGCCGAGTGTACGGGTTTCTTCTTTGATTTCTCCTTGCAAACAATAGCTTGAAGGTAGGCTTCGTTGGGGTTTGTGAATGGTGTTAAGATTTGGTCCGTTGTTGTAGGGATTTTTATGGAAGAGACGAAGCTGTTTTATTTTTGTGGTTTGTGAAAGCTTAAAGGATGGAGGAAGATGATATGGTTTGAAGAGCCATGGCGGCCATTCTTTTTCATTAAAGGTGGCTACCTAACTTTTATTTTCGGATACTATATTTTTAGGTTTTCTTGAGACGAGAATTGTGAAGGCTCCTTCTAGCCCTTCTTGTGGCTCCCTAAACATCTAAAAAATGGTTGTTTTTATAAGAGAAATTTAGGATTAAGAGGAATGGGTTTTTTTTTCTTTCCTTTTTTGTATTTTGAATTTTATATATACTATTTTTTGTATTTTGTGCCTTTTTTTCATTTTTTTAGTTTTTATAGTAAATTACAAAATAAAGTAAAATGAGATAAATAAAATAAAATAAATGAGAAATAATTAAAATAGCAAAAATATAGGAAAATTTTGGGTTATAACAACCCCTTAACCCTTCGTCTTCTTCCTCTCAAACAACGAGTTACTAGGTTTTCGACCTCTTCCTCAAACTCTTTTTATTCCTTTCGTATTTGAATTATAGGTTTCTCTTTCTTCATCAAGCCCATCTTAAACTAGAAACCCTAACTTTTATCTTACTTCAAATTCTCCAAATACACTAAATCCATAGTCCTAAATTATCAATTAACCTACCTATCCCTTACTACTAGTCTACACACTAATGGTCCTAAACTAATTAGTCCAATAGATCAATCTAGGTAGGGCTTCATAATAATGGTGACTATGTCACTATCATCAATCAGCTTTGAACCAACTTTGAGAGTGAAGTTTAAAGCAAGAACATAAGCCAATGGAGAAAAAGGACCTACCTAGTTCATTCAATGGATGGTTTGCCAAATGGAATAACTAGTGGTGGATACCGGCTTGTTTGACCGAAATGGGCTACCTATAGGGAAGGGTAACTAAATGGTGTTTCGGTTTCCAGTACTCAAAAGCCTTGCAAGGAATAGTTTTATTCCGAAAAGGTCGATATTTGCTTTCTTCTTGCTTTATTCTTCTTCAAAATCCTCTCAATACTCCTTGTTTCCATGCCTCAAAATCTTTCAATTATTTCCCACAACTCGCTCGTTTGTTTTTTTTGGATTCCCTTCACTCTCTCCATTTCCTTCTCTCGCACTCTTTATCTTTCAATTGCTCTTTCTAGTCCATCTTTTGAATTCCCTTTCACTCTCCCTCTCTTACTTCCCCTCTTTTTTTCTCTCCAAAATCCCTCATCTCTCTCTCTTTGCCTTTTGCTCACAATTCTTCTAAAATATCCTCTCCTAATTCCTCTAAGATTTTCCACTTGTTCATTCCTTTTTTATTCTACCTTAATTCAACGTGTACTTATACCCGAAGTCCCCCTCCGTATTCATGGGATCAATTCCCTTAAATTTAAAATTCCCTCCATAACAAAACAAACTCTCTAGCTTGTTGTCAATTTTGGCTTTGTATAAACATAGCCAAAACAATTATGCTTTATGTATGGGTGTTGTGTTTTGCACTGTTTTGATGTTTTTATTGTACATGTTAGTTCAAATATAGGAGCTACAAGAGTAGGATCTATAGGTGTAGGTCGGTTTTGTCCCTCTAGCCATTAATGAAGATAAACGAGTGCTAGTGGGTGTCGTAGTACAAGGCAATGTGCCATGGCAGTGGCTGGGAGGATTCGGATGATAAGTTGTTCGGGTTGATTCTGAATTCTTCTTGTTGTTTGCGTCTCGTGTCAATTTAGATCTCTATAGGTTTAATTTTATTTCAATTGTATCATCCGAGTGTGCCAATATAGTCCATGTACTTTTAATTTTTTCAATTGGGTCCTTATATCTTGTAATTTTAACTTTAGAATTTTTCAAGTGTTCAATTATATCCTTAATTATTTCAATTTTATTTTTTATTTTCATTCAATCATGTCCTTAATCAATTGTGTAATAATTTTTTGTATTTTATATCTTTATATATATTTTTTATTTTTTTCCTTTTCTTCTATTTTTATTAGTAAATACTAAAATAAAATAAAATAAATAAGTATGAAATAAATAAATAAGATAATAATAATAATAAAATAAAAGTAATAAAATTAGAGAAAAATATATATCCTAAAATTTGGATTATGACAGCTTGCTCTTTCTTTACAATGCTCATAGTGTAAATGATTACTATATTAAAGTAAAAGTAATAAAATTAGAGGAAACTATATATCCTTAAATTTAGCTTATGAAAGTTGCTTTTTTTTAATTGTTTAAAAACTCTCTCTCTCTCTCTCTATATATATATATATTAGTGTTAAAATTTTAAATTATTTTTAAATGAAATGTTAAAAATTTTGAATTTAGATTATTTTGACTCAAGTCTATAAGAAAAATGATGATAAGAATGATTGATTCGGCAAGTCAAAAACCAGCCCACTTCCTTTATAAAGGTCACATCATCCTAGGCTTCGATGCACAACGATTCCCACAACAATATTCAGAAAGGTAGCTATGCTAGCCATGGCTTCCAGCAACAAAATTGCTGTTGAAGTTCCCGGTTGGATTCAAGTTTTCGAGGATGGAACTGTGGACCGAACTTGGACTGGTCCACCTGAGGTCGGATTCTTGTTGAAACCTGTCCCACGCCATGAAAAATTCGTAGCCGTTCGTGACCAAATTATCGATCCAAACAATGGTCGTGCTGTCCGAGTCTACATTTCTGAGACGAACTGCAATGTCCAAATTAAAGCTAAGCTACCCTTGATCCTTCATCTTCACGGTGGCTGCTATTGCGTTACCCAACCTGACTGGGCCTTATACTTGGCTCTAGCTGTTATTGTCTCGGTCTACCTTAGGCTTGCCCCCGAACATATGCTCCCAGTTGCGTTCGAGGATGCAAATGCTGCATTGCCCTGGCTCCGTGCCAATGCTTGCAGCGAATTATCTGATCAATGGCTCACGAATTACGCCGATTTTACTCAAAGTGTTTTTGGTCGGTGATAGCTGCGGTGGGAATTTAGTGCATCAAGTAGCAGCTCGAGCTGGACTTGAGGATATCAAGCCATTACGTCTAAGAAGCGGGATAGCCATACATCCTGGATTCATACCGAACAAGCCGAGTAAGTCACATTTGGAACTACCTGAAAATCCATTGTTAACAAGAGTAACGATGAAAAAGTTCACGTCATTGGCCATGCCTATTGGTAGCACTAGAGAGCATCCAATTGCGTGGCCAATAGGTCCACAAACACCACCACTAACCACCCTGAAACTTCCACCGATTCTTGTTGTGGTGGCAGAGATAGATTTGCTTCGAGATTATATATACTGGAATATTGTGAGGAGATGAAGAAAGCTGGGAAGGAGATAGACGTTTTTATGAATTATGGAATGAGTCACAGCTTCCAATTTAATAAACTTGCCATTGACATGGATCCAGAGAGAGCTGCCCAAACTACTAAAGATGATCGAAGAAATTGTAAGTTTTATCAACAGTAATTAAGGGTTTTCGATTAGTGATGGATCGTGATGTTACATGATAGTAGGGTACATTGCCATGGTTGCTATGTTACATCTGACAAAAATGTAAGCATTAATTGCTTAGGAACGAAAGTACAAGTGGAGACAAACTATTGGAAAAGTTGCTTATTACCCTACATTATTATATATATTACAGTTTTGCAACAAGAGGCTGTCTAAGAAGATGCCTCCTGACCCCAGGAATGTGGACGCTTTTGATATAATGCTCCCAGTTTATGCTTTCCATATCAAAATCGAACTTCTTCTTCTCTTCAATGGACATTTCTTCAATTAATTTCTTGGTATTTGTAACGTCAAACCTAATGAGAAACCATGTTTTCCCCAAAGTTTGGTTAGCATGCAAAACATCAAAACAAAACAAAAGCTCCGTTTGGTATCAATTTAGGTAGTTTTTATTTTTTTTAGCTTAATTTTAAAAATAAAAATGTATGGTAAACAACTCGCTTAGAAAAAGGAAAAAAAAAATACATACCATTTCCGAAAATCATGTAAGCATGCATTTCTTATATTTCTCTTTTAATCCATTAAAAACAATGTTTTACTTATAAACACAATAACATCAACTAGACGCGAACAATATAATATTACTTAAGATAAATATCTTAATATGTCTTTGTATAATATTCTAAGTCTCACTTCTGATAATATATTTTTAATTATATTTATTATATTTTTAAATAATGTTTAAATAATTTTTTTAAAAAATAGAAATACCTCTGATTGAAATGTAAAAAAAAAGTCTTAAGACTTAAAAAAAATAGAACATCCAGGTAATGTGATTTTAAGATTTTTATTTTTATTTATTTATTTATTATTATTTTTTTTCAATCCAGAATATTTTGGTTAAAAAATTTATCAATTATTGGAAAAATTGATTTGAATAATAGATTGGAAACTAAATCAATATTTAGAGACATAGTAAATACAATTATAAATATAGAGACAGATTGAAGAGTAGAACTATTATATAAAAACAAATTAACCTATTGATTCGAGCATTTATGTTAGATCACATAATGACAGGATTATTCTTGTCAGTAGCTAGCATATGATGAATTGAAAGTAAAGCTCTTACCTTCCTTTATAAAACATATAGGACTTGTATAGATTAGCGATACGCATAAATCTTTGCACTGCCTTGAAACATCCCACTTGCATTCGAAGATACAGTTTGGGATCTAACATGCAAACATTATGGTCAGGTGTAAGTCCACTTCGTTGAGATACTTCATTCTTTATGAAGTCGGAAAAGCTATCCACTGAGTCAAAAAACTTCATGGGACTGATAGCAATTTTCTTCCCTTTTGAGTCGAATAAGGGTGAGGAAGAGAAATAATCATAAGCGTAGTTGAAGGAATCAGAAAAGGAAAGCGGATTCGCGACGGATGTGGCGACGTGGTAAACATGTAGTTCTGGTTTTTCAGCAATCCCATGCTTTGCTATGGCTGTCAAAGTTGAATTCACTACCATGTCCATAGGAACCTATACAGCGTTAATTTTTGTGAAAAAAGCGAAGAAAATCATCAAAGAAACAAGAAAAACTAATAATATGGTTTGGAGAAATAAATAGTTACTTACAATGTCTACAATTGTAATGGGGTCTCCAACAAAGCCCGGCAGCTGACCTTGTCCATAAGCTGCTAAGATTGGCACCCTGTTGTTTTCTCATCACAAGTCAAGAAATTGACTCATGGACTTGAGAATTGATGAGAAAATTGATGAAGTAATTTATGACAGAGAGAGAATAGAATGTCAGAGAAATGGAAGCATACTTGTATCCTTGGATCCATCCGGGGAAAGGTTCTTTGTAGGTGCTCTCAATCATGCTTGGACGGATGATGACAGTAGGTATATTTAATCTCATGCTATGTATTAGCATCTCACCCATGGCCTTGGTCATTTCATAAGTACTACACCATCCATGGATTCTCGCCCTGTATATACAAGAAGAACATACCGATAATGACTTGATAGAAGGTCCTATTTATTTATGTTTTTTTAAGAGAATTTATGATCTCATGTCATCTTTCTTATAACTTGTGAAATTCTTAGTTAGTTATGGTACTATGATTTAGGGTACTAAGAATGATGTTTCTTTACTTTCATCAAAAGTCATTTATCAAGTCGGTTGAACCAATTGAGTTGTTGAAATATTCGGTTCAATATTAACCGATATCTTTTCAGTATCTTTAGTTTCATTAAAAAAAAAGACATCTCGAAAATGATAAAGAATTTTGAAATAGTCTAAACTTCTTGGTCAAATTATAAAAAAAAACCTTCTTAAACTTGAGCCGAAAGAAAAGATTATTACCTCCGAACTAAAAAAATATATAATTTTATCTTTTAAAGAATATGATTTCTTGAATGTGCTTTTTTTTTTTTTAATTAGAATTATGTTGAAAAATTGATTGAAAGCCCATAAAAATCCTCTTGATTTTTATATTTTTCTTAAACAATTTAGAAAAAAAAAACAAATTTATTAATTGAGAAAAGAAGAGAAATTTAGAAGATTTTTATGAGCTTTTCCATCAAATTCTAAATGAAATCCTAATAAAAGAGAAAAATTTTAAAAAATCATATTGTTTAAGATGAAAAATCAAGAATTTTTTAATTCATGAGAATATTTATTTCTTTTTTAATTTCGTAGGGGTATTTTATAATTCAACCAACCTTCTATATACTTTAATGATTCTTCAATGTAAATTAATTCACTTTCATATTGAAGAATATCAATTTTCACACGTCTTCATCGAATCAATGCACGACTCTTATGGTACTCATTCTAGTAACAACTAACAAATAAAGTTTATATTCTTGGAGAAATTAGATGTTTATTGTTTATTTTTTAGTTTCTTGGTTTGTAAATTGGATTCTTATTACAAGTGGGTTGAATTGTCTAAATCTGTTGATGAATATAGGGTTAAATCGACAAAATAAATAAATAAATAATAAAAATAAAAATAATTCACGGGACCCGGCTATGACGATTTGACACAAAAACATCTAGGTGCTCAAAGTGGGGGTTTTCCAAAAAGATAAGGGACTAAAAGAGATTAAATCAATACCTTTCCATCCCCAACTCACTCATGATTTGATCTGCATTTTTCTCAATAGATTCTACTGCAACAGAAGCCAACTTGATTTCAGCATTGATATCCAAAAAAGGGACAGAGATTGCTTGGGTTTTTGAGGTGATTGTGTCTCTGGTTGCAATGCTTTGTTCCATGCAGAAAGGCTTCTCCAAGATTACTCCTTGTCTTTTCCCATTAACATAAGCTGTATAATGTGCACAAGATGATCATATTTAATTACCCCGTTGATCCAGTTATTAATATGATCAATAAAATAATCAAATGAGACTTTGATCTCCATTTTTACGTACCAGTTGAAACATGGAAGAAAAGTTTAAGTTTCTTGCAATATTCCTTCCCAAATTCTAAGACACGTGCAGGTCCTCTCGTGTTTATGTCGATAGCAACATCATACCTACATGTTCATGATGATGTCAAAATTATATGAATGTGAAAGCTTTTTAACACTTTACTAGACACAAAATTAAGAAAAATAACCTTGTATCCCAAATTGTATTGGCTGCTGAGTTTATAATCACATCAATTTCTTTGGCAATTTCATTAGTTGTATCAGCATCAATGCCTAGATTAGTTGCACAAACATCCCCTTGCACTGGAACTAGCTTGCTCATCATGAAGGCTTCGTATGACTTTCCGTGAATTTCTTTAAGGGTGTTAAAAACTTTTGCATTTATGATCTAAATAAAATAGTGGATCAAATTTCTTATCAATCGAAGAACTTATAATTCAACAATAATAGTATCTTATAAGATGTTATGAATTTAAATTTTAACAGATTAGATTAGTTTTATTAAAAGGTTTGGATATGTATTTTGGGTGTGTGAGATTAAAAAAAATAAAAAAAAAAATCTCATCTATAGTACTTCAATTGGGAATAAATTAAAACTTTGGGAATTGAAAGTTTTATTTGGCTGAAATGGAAATGATGTGCAAAACATACTTCACTCTTCAATCTTTTTCGTATAGCTTCCTTGTCCTTTCCCTTGATCAAGAGAAACATCTTTCCCACTTCACGAATTTCTCTCAACATCTTTTCAATTAAAGCTGCAAATAAATAAATAAATAGTTTTATTATATATATATAAAAAATACATATAACTACACTGGCTCTAACATGTAGATATAAAACCCATACGCAAAATAACAAACTAAATCAGATCCGAAACCATACCATATGAAAGATTAAGAGATTAAAAAAAGAAAGGGAAGAAAATGCATGAGGCTAGGTCTATTACGTACCTTTTCCAAGAAACCCAGTGGCACCGGTGATGAAATAATTCTTTCCTTGAAGAAACTCAAGAATGCCAATACCATTACAAGGTGATGATGATACAGCCTGATCCATGGAGATCAATTATCCACAAGCAAATAGCTGAAGCTTATTTGGCTGAGTAAAAGGAGCTTGGGAGAACTTATGTGCGTGTTTATATATATATATATTTTGCTGGTTTGGAAGAGGATGGATTGAATTCAATATATCATTTTTAGTGAATTTCCATGGGTTGATTTATAGAATTAATTCCTTAAGTTCAAAAAATATAAGAATTTTGTACCATCTCAATACATGTGACTTCCGAATCTGTTTTTAGGTGCTGGTGGGCTCTTACCACTGACAGTAACATCAACTTTTGAATGATTTTTAAATGACAATAGTATGCCTTTTTTTTTTTTTCAAGAAAAAACAGCTAATTATAATTCAATCCCTGTGGTTTTGTAGAAACTAATTGATTAGTCCATATAATATAAGGAAATAATAATAATAAATAAATAATAGTTTTTTTTTTTATCACATTGACGATCCTCATTTATTATTATTGTTTTTCAAAAATGCCACATTTTCCTAATAAAAAAATTTTCATCTTACCCGTTTCTATTTAATTTTTATATTTTTTAAATAAAAAAATTAAAAAAAACATAAAATTGACTAAAAGACTAAGTTATAAATAGAGTTACACGAATATACATTAAATTAATATATAGTACTTTTTTAACCATGAGGACTGTTAATTAGTTTTGATATACTCTACAGACTAAATTATATTTAACTCTAGAATTAATAAAAGAAAAAAACAAAGAGGATTTATTATTAATTCAATAAAATTAGGAATTTAAAAATAAAAGACAAAAAGCATCCTCATATGTTATAGGATTACATAGGCCATCCAAAAGTTTAAGGATTTACTAGAAACCTCATTCACGTTTTAAAAACAATATTTATAAAAATCTTCTTTTATATTCAAAATGTTTTTAATACTTTTAAAACAATCCCATTAATTACAAAGAACTTTTTTTAAAAAAATTAATTTAAGAGCATTTTAAATAGGGGTGAGCACTATTCGGTTAAAATAAATAAACCGAATCGAACCAAATTAGCAATTTTGATTCAGCTTTTCTACAAAAAAAAATTTGGAAAAAAAAATCAAAATTATTTTAGTTCGGTTCGGATATATTTTTTAAAATTCGGTTTCCACCGAAAAAACCATTACCACCGGGTTATAAGCTCTTTGATAAATAATTTAATTGATATGTTTTTATATTTCATACCAATTTTTAACTCTTATAAATTTGTGATCTTCACATATTTTAAATTACTTTTTTCAATAAAAATCTTCTTGACTCTTAATTAGTGGCGGAGTGAGGAGTGTTTTTTAGAGAAACAAAAGATATTTAAATAAGATATTTCTCTATAAATAAAATAATAGAATTCTTTATTAGAGATGAAAGGACTAAAATTATGAACTTTCATTCAATATGCATAAAAGTTTAAAAATTGCATCTACAATCTCCAGACCTATGTGTTTTGCCATTGTATCTAATGATGCAAGAATTCGAATATATATATATATATATATATTCAATACGCATAAAATTTTAAAAATTGCATCTCCAATCTCCAGACCTATGTGTTTTGCCATTGTATCTAATGATGCAAGAATTCGAATATATATATATATATATAAAGCAAACTCAAACAAACTCTTGGGTAAATTTGTGAGATTAGTGTTGATCAAACTAGCATGAATGAGACATGATGTTAAAACTAGAGTAAATTATAAATCAATCTTTCTAGTTTTGATAAAAAAAAAAAAAAAAAAAACATAATTAATTTTTTTGTTCTAAATTTAATTAATTAATTAATTTTTTTTTTTTGTTCATTTTATGTTCTTGTCAAATTTTTTTTTAAAAAACTGTTGGTTAAAAAAAAATTAAATAGATATTTTTGAATATCAATGAAAAAAGAATTTTTTAAAATAAATTAAGTAAAATATGGTCATACTAATAAAAAAATAAATTTGCTAGGATATCAATATTTGTGATGTAATTAAAAGAAATTACAAAAAAGTGGCCTTTCATTTTGGTCCAAGAAAAGATTTAAAATTCATAAGTAAAAATGCAAAAACAACATGTAAAAAAAAAAAAATCGATTTTTAACTAAAAATCAAAATTTTTTTTGGTGTTTTAATTGAAAAACCGAACCTCGGTTTGATTTTAGTTAATTTGATAAACAAAAAATCAAATGATCACCTTTAATTTTAAATACAAAATGGAATTTTTGTAATAACAAAAAAATTTAAATGATTTATATAATTTTATAATATTCAAAAAGGTTATTGTAATTATCCTTGTTATCATGCAATACGATGAAGCCACTTTGAAAAAGCAATAATTAAAAGCTTTAATAATACAAAAAGTCATACTTTGCTAAAAAACGAACATAGCAACGTGATGGTAAGAAGCTTATTACAAAGAGACGCTTGCTTCAGAGGCTACAATCATGTAGGAAAGTGGCTTCATAAAGTTACACTAAAACAAAGGCAAATAGTGGTAAGTGGCCTCTGAATAAAGTGTAATATGCGAGCAGGCATCTTGAAAGTGTTCTATTCATTGAATAATTGAACGTGGCATCTTTTATCTAGTACGATATATGAAATATGTGACAAAAATGGAGTTTTGGCATCTTTCTGTTCATTGGTCCGGCATCTGTACGTGTTTAGCCTCTAGGTAATTTACTACTCCACAAACTCAAAAACTTGCCATCTAATAATAATAGGTTTGCCTTTCCTTTCAAAGTGGACTTTCTCTATACCTTATAACTAGAATATGGCTTACTTTTATTTTATTATCAGTTAGGAATGTAGGGTTGTCCTACGTTGATTGAAAGAGATCAGAGATGGAGTGCTTATATATATATATATATATATATATATATATATATATATATATATATATAAACTTCACTTTTTTCAACTAACTTTTTAGGTTGAAAAGATCCAACAACATCCACTAATATCAAAATTTTAGTTTTGAGAGATTTAACTTTTGATCACGAATAATATCTCGCATACAACAAGTTTTAATTTACCATAAAACAATTTCACATGAATTGAAATTTTACTTTTTGGTAACAAATGGTGAAGGATATCCTTATTGAATAGGGTTTGGCTAAGGCATTGAAGAAAAAATGATGGAAAACTAGAAGAGATGGAGGAGAACGAATGAGAGGACTTGGAATCAATATGTGTGAACGTAATTTGACTCCATATTGTTGATAACATTATCAATAATGTTATGGATGAAGATTCAAGTGCTTATAATATAGAAAAAGTTGAAAAATCTTTATCTAGCAAAGAGTTTAATCAACAAGTTACAACTCGAAGTAACAAATTTACAAGCCAAAAACGAAAAAAAAAAAAAAAAAGAGGAATCTCATGGAGCACTTGAATGTGTTCATTGATATAATGGATCAATTACAAAAAGTTGATATCAAAATTGAGAAAGAAGATAAAGCTATTTCACTTCTTATCTCTCTTCTCAATTTGTTTGAAAATCTAATGATGATGTTATTATATGATAAATATATAATAAATTTAGAAGTACATGATGCACTTTTATCTTGTGAGACATAGAGTGTAACACCCAAAATAAAATTTTCATACTATGCATGTGTATGCTTGTGTTTGTATGTTTTTATATATATTGTGCATATAAATGATATCTTTTAAAATTTTTTTTCCTTTAGTAGTGGTGTTTTGGATTATATGTGTCTTAGAGATTGAGGAAAAATAAGGTGTTTTAGAGCTAATTGAATAGATTTAAGGATATGGATGAGTTTTATTGAAAGTTGAGGGACTACTTTAAAAATTGGATATAATTATAGGGATCATGTTGTAATTGAAATCCCTTCTTTATGCCTTTGTCTGTAACCAACGGGTTCCATTATTTTCTTTCTCTTTCCACTTTTTCTATTCCCCTTTTCTTCTTCTTCATAACCTAACCAAACTCCCCCTTTCTCCACACTTGTTTTCCAACCTTTCTTATCACTAAACAACCTTGTATTAAGATACTTATGATGATCAAAGTGGGTTTTAAGCAAAATTAGAGCTTGAAGAGTTATTGTTCTAGAGGATAATTTTGAATCGAAAAGAGAAAGGTATGTTCTTTCCATAATTTCTAGTTATTTTTGGATGTTATGTGGTGTTTTGATGTTGATTTGTGATGAGTTTGTCTTTTGAAGTGATAATGATGAGTCTTTCGAAGTGATATTGATGAAGTTAGGTTTGATACACAATTTGGGAAAAAGTTGATTAAGTAGTTTTAATTGATTAACTAATGATTTTTTTGCTTTGGGCTTGTGTTTTATGAAGACAAACCGAGATTTAAATGGTTAGATTTCATTGATTGAGAAATTATGTGATGTTATGCTCGGAATTGGGGTTTTGTGAATATTGGTTATTAAAAAGGTTGGAAGATGATGACTTGTGATGTATGAGCTTTGGGACTTTTGTGGAGTATGAGAATTTTGATGAATTATTGATTTAATTAGAGGTTATATTGTGGTTTGTTTAATTATAAGAATTGATTAGCTCAAGGAAAATATTGTTGAAGTGGTAAGGAATCAAGGCAAGCATGGTTGAACTCACCACAATGACCATATATGTGATGTGTATTATGTGATTGAATGTGGTAAGTAAATATTTGATTAATTGTTATGTGTTATGTGATCATGTGTGTTGTGATTAATTGAGCCTT